CTGGGCCCAGATAGACTACTCTAGGACTGGAATGACAGCCCCCAGAGTGGAATTCCATTCCAAAAACACAGCTGCTACTCTCAGGGACCATCATTTCAATCTGGGGGCTGTCATTCCAGTCCCACAGTAGTCTGTCTGGGCCCAGAGACTTTAAAGGAAAATCTATTCCACATTTTCTTTGCAACATTTTTTGTGCTTTAGCCCAGAGGAGCTTCCTGCTGGAGGAGAAACAGGTGAAGACAAGGCCCAGCCAGCTGGGGAGTTCAGCAGCCTCGGTCTCCTTCGGAAGGGTAAGGACAGGCAGGGGAGGGAGAGGGGGTGGTGAAGAGAGCCGCGGACCCTATCAAAGCCTTGGGTGGGCTGCTTTTGGCCCGCGGGCTGTAGGATTGACACCCCTGGTGTATGGTTTTAGAGAGGAAGGGTTTGGGTGCTTTTTCTCCATAAAAACAGTGAATTGTGTAAATTTTCTAGTTATTGTCTTTTACATTTGGCACTCTGGAAGAACTAACATTGTAATCATTAAGTATCCCATACCACGCGTCCCTGCTCTGGTAACTATCTCAGCTATCAGGCCAACTGGACCCAAATTTAGTTCCCACATCTGTTTGTTAACTCTAGTATTTGTATGCTAATTTGCTGCCATTCATAGGTTTTAACAACTGCTTTAATCCAATCTCAGCTATGCTTATTGCCCATTTACTTATGCATCTTGACTCTAACGAGCCCTTCCTGACAACTGTCCCCCCCCCCATCTACTTATATTCAAGACCTAGGAAAACTGTTTCAATGTATCTGAAGAAGTATGCATGCACACAAAAGCTTATACCCAGAATCAAACTCTGTTGGTCTTAAAGGTGCCACTGGACTCAAACTTTGCTCTGTTGCTTCAGACCAACACGACTACCTACCTGAATCTGTCTTTAGTACTGTTGTTCAAAGTGACATTAGCAGGCCCTGCCTGTAACATCATTAGGGCCCAACTGGATCAGTCTCGGCTTGGGGTGCTGGGGACTTGGTTCATTTCTGACTTGTGAAATAACTGAACTATTTTTCTTTTTAAAGGACAAACTAAGGAAATAGTTTGTAGCAACTTGAAATTAATTATAGCTTATATATATTCATAAAAAGGTTTCTGATTGCTTCCTTTTTCATGACAGAGGATTTATGATACAGTAGAAATTCAGTAGGTGAAGCCTTTCATGCCACCACATCTCCATTCCAGGAAAAGCTGTACTTGTTGAATTCTGTCTGCCATCTAACTCTAAAGCACAGGGATCAAACTAAGAAAAAAATAGTAATAATTCTAATAGTTTGTATGAACTATTGAAATTGACTTGCTAATGATTGCTAACATCAGCTGTTAATAAAGATTACTTGAAAAGCATTTGCATTATTATAAATTTCTGATTGTCACTATGTAGGACCAACATGAAGATAGGGAAGATACAAGTATGGGAGAAACAAATGGACCACAGTAAAAAGAAGGGTGGAGAAAGCAAAAGGTTTAAGTGAGCAACACAGGAGAAGCAGGGCCAAGAAAGAGAGATGAGACAAAGCGGACCACAATCAGGAGAGGGCAATGTACTTGGCCATCTACTTAGAGACTTCCATTAGTATAAATATATTTCTCTACATATTTCTGTGATATTTTGAGCTTCTTGCCAAACTGTTCTTATGTCTATTTTACACCTGTAGTTGCTTCTCTACTTTCTTCCCCTGCAACACTTTGCTTCTGATTCATTCAAACTTGAAAGGTTTGGCTGTGTTTGCAGCCTTTTATGTAATAAACGCCCCGGTCACACGGGTCGGATATCGCGGGGGGGAGGCGTGGCTGTTTGCCCTGGAGTGAACTACCGCGCAGCCGCCGGTTCAAACGTCCTGCTGACGTCCCATGGTTCGGGGGAGGTGCCGATCATACGTAAATCGTGCGGCGCGGCAAAGAAGCGGCGCGGCGGGGGTTGTGGGTTTTTTAACCGTACTGTGCGCATGCGCCGTTGGGTGCTTGTGCGCATCCCGTAGAGACTTGGGAAAAAACCCCTTTTTGTGATGGGACATGGGAGGGCGCGGATGCCACAAGCTACCACCGGAAACGTGATCAGACGCCCACCCTTGCCTCGCGGTTTCCGGAAACTAGTACCTCGGAGGTACTAGTTTTTTATGGCGCATCTTCGACAGGAAGCCTCGGGTTCGCCATGGGAGCTCTACACTTCCCAAATGTTGTGGTTTGATTGTGCCCGGAAAATCTGCCTATCTTCCGTCTCTATAGCATGGCTAATGCTCCGTGTGACCGCAGCCAAAGATCATTATCCTGTTCTTGATTCTGCATTTGCTTGGGTACTCTTAAGTGGATGGAGTCTGTACATGGTGGGAGAAGAGAGATGCTTCCCTGCCCTTTGGGTACATCTTTCCTGACTCTGTATCACTCTCCCATCCATACATTGTAGATAGCCGGTAAAAGTATCATAGTAATTGAGAATCCTTGCAAGCTTTGCCTTCCTGAAGATTATGTAGATTGGGCCCATTTTAATCATTTTTATATTGACCTTAATCTTAAAAAGGTTCAAAACATCATATATAACTCCATCCCTGTTTTTATTCTAACAATCCTGTTGTTTGGCTAAGTGATAGTAACTATCCTAAAGGTGAGCTTAATTTCAGAGTAAGGAACCAAATTCTAGGCCTCTTCTGTCCCATCTGGACTTATGTGCACAGAAATCTCTATCCCTATTTCACTGTGCGGTTATAAGGAACTCTCTGGGTCAAAGTAACACTGCATGTAGATTTTACATACTTGGAGAAGATTTTGGTACACATCAGAGCATACTATCTGTTTGCTCAGGATAAGTCCCACCAGCAGCCTACAAATATCATTCATCCAAGAGCAACAGATGTTTTCCAAAGCACTGTGAGAAAAAGATGTTTCATTAGCTTTCCTCACATTCTTTCAGTCTCTTTTTTGGGGGAGGATGATTTTGAGGAAAGGCTCCTAAAAGGCTGCTATCTCATTATGAAGGGCAGCAATAGATTGAATTATGACACAAGAGCAGTTGTTGAATTTATGGAAAATGAATACATGAAAAGTTCATGTTCGCCCTAAATTTTAGAAGCCAGGTATTGTTTCTGCTGTTTTAATCGGGGATTTGGTGTTTTATACCCTAGATAGTGCTTTTTAAATACCCTAGGTACTGCTTTGTTAAAATAGACAAAGACTGAGCAGTTTATTGAATTCCTACCAGCAATACTGAGGCATGCTTCTATTGCAACACCCAACAAGAAGTCCGTGTGGAGAACTTGGGATCTCAGCAGGGCTGAAATGCTCAGAACACAATAAAGATCTCCCCATAACCCTTAACTCTTATATTCCTGCTAAATTTAATTCTTTGCAGTCTTAAAGTTAATACAGGTATAGCTTTTTAACATCAGTGGGGCTCACGTGGAAGTCCCCCTCATTGCATTCAGTCCAAATGTACCTTTCCACAGTCAAGTGGCAAAAGCCTGTTGTGAATAGCACCTATTGCACTCACGTGGAAGGTCCCCCTCATTGCATTCAGTCCAAATGTGGTCAAAAGCCTGTTGTGAATAGCACCTATTGCCAGGTACCTGTGGTGTTGCCAAAAATCTTCCCTGGAACAGTTTTGTGCCTTTTAAATAAGGATTAACTGAACAAACAAACATACATACAGCACTGTTAATTTTTAACAGTTAAAATTAGCTAAAATTAAAAGTGTGTCCAGTACAGGAGGCAGGAGTGAAAGAGTGACAGCTGAACTAATGTACAGTTTTCTAGTACGCATGTTCATCATTTCCATTTTGAAGCAGAAAGGAAGCTGGACTCACTCTATACCTGACTGTGAGTTACATTTTTATATTACCAGTAAAGTCATCATGGGGCTGAAGATGTACTGAAATTCAGGTCATTGCAGCTTTTCTATTCAGTGATGTGCTGTGTTTGAAAGGGTAGGAAGCACCAGCTGTTGCTATCTGCCTAGCATTGTGTCTCTAGAGCATTACCACATGTAGTCAAAAAGACATATGCTAGATAAGTCGCTATATGAATAAGGCATTTCAGGCTCCTGTGGAAGGGGGAGTAGAGAAAGGAAGTTCTTGTGTACTTTTTAAAAAATGGAATCTTGATAATCCTTACTCTGAGAACTCCATGAGGATAATTGATTCAGACATCATCTGAGGTACAAAACTTGCAGAATTCCAGGTAGCCACAATGGAAAAACTGTAATTTGAGGAAAGCATTCTAAATTGGGCAGGTATGAAATGTGCAGTAGTTGCTTGCTATGGAAATGTATTTTGTGCACTTAAATTATGAATGTATCGTAGCATCTTATAAGGGAAAGTAGTTCATCATAATAGATATGTCCTCAGCATACAGGACTGTTATTGCTTAATACTGGTACAATGGCTTTGAATTACAGAAATTTTGAATTTTTTTGTGGACGAAACACATAAAAACCTTTCTTTAGAATGTATATTCTAAAATAGAGCCTAAATAGCCCAGACTAGCCTGATCTCACCAGAGCTTGGAAGTGAAGCAGGATCAGCCACAGTTAGTACTTGGATGGGAGACCACCGAGGGAGAGTGGAGTTGCTATGCAGAGGAAGCCAATGGCAAATGACCTTTGCTCATCTCTTGCCTTGAAAACCCCATGATTCTAGGGTCGCCAAGAGTCTGTTATAACTTGAGGGCACACAATGTCTACTTCTTTGTATATTCATTTGGAAAGCTTGCAACATGTCTGCAGACCCCTTTAGCACGCCTGAAATAAGGGGGCTCATTATCTCTGAAAGCTTACTGTGCTCTTTAATGCATGTAAGGGGATGAAAATGTTTTGTTTGCTGCAAGAATGGACAGTTCTGGGGTGATAGCATTTCAGAGTATTTTTTAACTTTGTAAAATAAATTGTAATGCCACGTTACTTTTTACAGCTAATTAATGCATTGACTTCCCTTTTTGTTCTGCTTACTGTCTCCCCACCCTCCTCCTCAAGTCTGAACAGCCTAGTCCTGCCAGTTCAAGCTCCAGCTCCAGCTCCAGTTTTACACCTTCTCAGAACAGTCGGCAACAAGGTACAAGTAACAAAAGAGAAATCGGCTATAGCATGAGAGTCAGGCAAATGGAACAGAAGGTGTTTCAGGGCTGCACTTTTCTTCTTGCCTTATAAATTCTTAAGTACTTGCGCTCTGTTCAAACATATAATTTTCGCAAGGTGGGTAAATGTTAAAGCCAAAAAGACTCATGAGTTTAGTCTGGTGAAATGAAGTCAAATAATTTTTAAGAACTTGTATGTAAGTAGATGGGGTGTGCATTCAGATCTACCCGAGACAAAAATAGCCGTATTGCTCTGCAGGAGAACAGCTAGATTCAACTCTGGTAGCACGTTAGAGACCACAAGATATTCAGGGTTTGAGCTTTTGAGAGTCAAAGCTCCATCAGATATCTATAAGGTGCTACAGAGTGGAATCTAGCTGTTCTAATGGATATCTGTTATCTTACTTGTGTTAATTTCATTAATGTGGTTCTTCCGTTAACATAAATAATGTTATTCAGAGTCCTACTAAGGTGTAGGTCTTCCATGATCAGTGATATGGTTCAATTATAATAATGAACCATGGTTTGTCGTTAGGAGAACAAGCCTGGGGCTTTTTGGCCTTGCACGTCTCTCCCCCTTACTCCTCTTCTTACGTGCAGCTCAATAACAAAACCCTTCAGTTTTCATGGCAAACATATTTTGTCATTACCTTTGAACCACAATCTCTGGTTTGTCCCCTAGACTAGGATTTTAGATCTTGGCTTTCAAGCTAAAATATTCCAAGGTTCATTCACATAATGAAGAAATGTGATTTCATTATTTCTAAATTGTCTCATACATTTGGAAATGTCATTGAGGTTGCTGTAGTGGAAAGCTCTTAGCATGTTGTGTTGCTGTAGCTTGATGAGTGAAAATTGTAGCTCAAGGTCATGTATGAGCTGGTTTTAAATAGTAAAAAGAATGCACAATAGTTGGATCCTACATCCTGTGAATAGAAGGAATTTGTAGAAACAGATCTGCCCTGCCATCATGCAACTGCCACCTGTCAACCCCAAAAATCCTCTGTTGAGGGTCAGGGGAACCTTTCTGAACAAAGTAGCATGTAAATTGGTAAAACATCCCCTTGGAATCAGTGATGTGGGTTTTGGAGGGAAAATATGAATTTGAATTTTTCCAGTGCTCTAAACAGAGCATGAGCTGATTTTGCATGTTTATTTGACTTACATTTAGTAAACAGTTTTTTTAAGTACTTCCTTATGCCCTAATAAAAATATTTGATCAGGGAAAAATACATTGTGGTTTAAATGCTATATTCAGACAAATTCAAAGGTTTCTGTGAAGTTATTTTTATTGGAAGAATACTTGTAAAATTTAAAATAAATAAATAAAGACAGTATAGCATGCATTTCCTTTACATTCTATACATTGGAGGTGGGGGGCGAAGGCACTGAAAACTGTTAATGCGCTAATTTGGGTGCAAGAATTTAGCATTAGTTACAGGGACTACTGAAATTCCTGTTCATTCTTGCAGGACCATGGCATTTTGTTTTGGAGAGCCTCCTGACTCTCAGCATCAGTTCTCAGGAGACATCTGGGGGAATGGTATGGTAGGGGAGATCATCTGCTTCCTCAAAGCCCTTCTATTTTTAGGAATTAGGATGAAGCGCCATGTTTTTCTAAAACAAAGCCATGCAACAGTGGCTTACTTCCTTCAGACAGAATATCCTGCAAACACTTTTATCTCCACTGCTAGTAGTACAAAACTGTTGTCAGTCATCAGTCTTAAACTAGCAAAAAAAAAGTATCAGTAAACTCCAGAGCATAATGCCTCTTTCAGGTTCCGAGTATTAATTTCAGAAGACTTCAGCAAATGATTTCTTAGACTTTATTGACTTTGGCTTTGCAGTAAATCACTTTTCAGTTTTGAAAGTCAGAATTTATTTCTGCCAAGAGGCCCTGCCCTAAATGGTTTACATATAAATAGTTGAGAGAGTTCCTGTTGGACCATTTTTATGGGATTGCATCAAATAGCACAGTGTGTATATTCTTAACCAGCTGCTTTAAATGCAGGAAATATTAAAACAGATCTTGAAGTCCCTTCCCAAATGTATGTCACTCTGTTTTGTAGAGGTATTAAGTTTCTCAAATGTATATATTTTTTCTTCTGTAGTTATTCTAAGGAGCCCACCCCTAATGCTTTCTTTGTCAGCAGATCACTGCTTAGGAGGGAGCGTATCAAAATCTATAAAGCAGTTACAGCTGTGCAACTATAAAGAGCAGTGTCAGAAGCCATTGCATCAGCACTGTCCCATCAGTTTTGCAGGCAGATATGCAGGTACAAGTAAGTGCCTGGAGTCAGGGCACCAGTTAAGTTAAATCACCTTTATTGTGTGTGGAAAATATGACTGTGGTGTATGTTCATGAGATCATGGAAACAGAGTTGTCAGGGATCTTTTAAAACATACCTAAGATCCTGTATTCTGGCAGGGAACAATTATTCCAGTGTGTTGTGTTAACTTCGCATTAGCGGTATAAGAACTTGCTTAGAATCTTTAAAACAAGGATTTGTGACTGTATGAGATCTTAATATCAAAGTGCCATTTTAAAAAGGCAGTGTTGTATAGTGATCACAGACTGGAACCCAGGAGACCAGGTTCAAATCTCCATGTTACCCTGAAGCACACTGTGTGCACTTGTTCCAGTCATATTTTCTTGGTCTAATCTACCTCACAAAGTTGTGACGATAAAATGGAAGGGGGGAGCAGGTTTGCCACGGAAGGGATAAAAATGCAACAGCTAGATATACAGAATACCTGCATTTATAACATCAGAAATACAGACCAGCTCTTTAGGAAAAATAATTTAAATTTGGTAGCGCTAATACAGGTGTCCTATATTAAATACCCCCTCTAAAAAAAAAGGGATTAGATTTGGGGGGGGGGGATACCTCATTGCCATTAACTCTGTGGGTGGGATTTTTTAAGTCAGTGCCTGAACCATATTTCTCTCTCTGCATAATACTGAAATAATGACCACTAAGTGATATATTATGGGAGTGAATGAAAGGACTCATTACTTGTTTTAAATAACAGCAATGATTAGCAATAATTTGATTTCTAATAAATCTGGATTTATTCACTGACTATATCCCCCTAACCTTGAAGCAATTATATATTTGTTGTGATTTGGTTCAGCTTCTGGGTATATGCAATCATCATTTTTTGTTCTGTCACCATATTTAACAACTTACAATGATTGTGTTTTCTCACAACTGTTCAGAGGCTAATAATGTAGCTCAAATTGTACAACTGCTTACTCAATGCTGCTTTTATGTTTATTTTCATAACCTCTTTATTTTCAGATCTGGGTTTAAAACAAAACAAAACAAAAGTAGTGAAGTCTGAGCCCCCCCCTGCCCCCGCAGTCTCCACAAGATAAATTTTTGCAAAGAGCTACTGTTTCTGTTACCTACTCTGCATTTTTTTGAGTAGATGTATGGAAGCAAGTTAAAAAGCTAAATTATTATAAACCTGATCTTAAAACCATTTTTTATGCAACTTTATTGAAGAAGCTGGTGTAGCCTTTCTCTTCAGTTCCGGGATAAAGATGGGTCTGTTACTGGCACTGACACACTTTATACATATGAGCACTAGCAGAGAGCTTGCTTGACCTGACATTGACCTTAGAATAAAGAGGACAGCTAAACCTAAGTAGATCAAAAACAGGCAGACAAAGAATGCCTTGGCCAGAGCAAGTTCCAATCACAGTGATTTATTAGACGATGACTTTCAGTACATGGATTAACCTAACAAAATGTACTATTACTAGTAGCCTCTTTTAGATCTTTTCAGGTATAGACTATCCTCTGAATTATTTTTTAATTTAAAAAAGAGCTTTTGCATTTTTAAGTTGTATTTTGTTGCACGAGAAGCTAACTGCCTTTTTTCTTAACATTCCAAGGAGCTAATTCTGCAAACAGTCAAAACACAAGTCCCTTTGTTGACAGAAATAATCCCATTTTAAGTCAACTGGTTTCTGAATAAATTGACTTTTGTTTAAGCATTTGCTACATAAGCCCCATGAGTATTAGGTCTTTTGTTCAATGCCCAAGTCGTCCTTCATCTACCACCCCCCTTCCTTAAAACTGTGTTAGAACTTGTTTTGCTTATAAAGCCAAACAATAGGTAGACCTGTATTTGAATCCCTGTTGTTGATTTGTGTTCCGTTTTGTTTTTGTTCGCTAGGTCCTCTGAGGTCTATAATGAAAGATCTGCATTCTGATGATAATGAAGATGAATCTGATGAAGCAGATGAGAATGACAACGACTCTGAGATCGAGAGACCTGTAAATACTCATGGAGGAAGCAGGGGACGCAGGTGAGGCTTTTGAGGGGGGGGGAAGCAAGCTGACGGAAAACTAAGAGCAGAAACAATTCTGCTTCTAGGTGCAGGAAGGCTGAGTGGAAACAAAAGTACATGTAGGAAGAGAACAAGCAAAATATCGGGAAATGTGGTAGGACAGGAGAAAATCAGGGGCCAGTGCTGAAAGCAGACTCTGTATAGGAGAAGAAAGCACAAAAACCCCTGTGAGCGTAACATTGAGACAGAGCATTTTATTTTGATCTTTGCTGTATTTTGTTGTTTTACATTGTATTTTACTTTTTACCATTTTGTAAATTAGTCTACAAATAAACTAAATTAAGCTTGTTTTTAAAGCTTCTGCTTTATGTTTGCTTCACAACATACAGTAATACAGGAAGCTTCTCTGGACTCCTGCCTTTGGGCCTTTTTCACACGGGACCGTAAAAAGCACATTTGGCCAAGTCCTGTGCTGTTTGTGTCAAATGTGGGATCGAGTGCAAAACAGAAAGTTGATATACTTTGAGCAATATAGATTTTTTTACAGATAGATATACAGCAAAGCTAATTCAGATACTGTTCTTGTCTGTCCTCTGGAGCCAATTGCCAGTTGCCATTTCAGATGGACTGTTTACATTGTGGAAGAGGCATGGGAAGAAAGGGTACACACTGGCTCATTCAGCAACCTTTCTTCGGTCTTCAAATCAGCTATATGGTGCTTTTAATTAGCTGTTTTTAAGAATCACAAGAGGTCTTAATCACAGCTGTCATGTTCTATCTAGTCTGGCCCTACATTTATATCATGCGTAATTATCTTTTTGTAATTAGTCACCTGATTTTAGGAGCAGACCGTGTAAAACAAAACACACACACACACACAAAAGGACATATAGACGAGCACCCATGAGAAACAAAAAGAAAACAGCAATCATGAACCAAAATTTCCACATAACTGAAAAAGAGATATTCCTTACCTGTGGCACAGACATTTGCATCTATATAGATTTTAGTACCAGTGAGTTGAATGTGGCAAACAAGTAAAAGTAAGCACGTCCATATGTGTATGTGATTACCCTTGAGATAACTAGTAATTGGAAATATTTTTAACTAGTACAGAATAAAAGATTTACAATTTATACTAGAGTTAAAAACAAGCTTTTCTTGCATTTATTCTAATAAATTTATATATTGTTTTAAGCATCTTGAGAATCGGGTTAATGGTGGGGATCTTCTAGATGCTGTTGTACTCGGGAAAGCAAGAACATAAAATTAAAAGTGAAGTTCATCTGTACCGTGTTTATGGATGCATTATGTACAGTATTAATTCTCATCACAGCTACACAGCTACCAAGCCCGTTTTGGGATTTGTATAATTTAAGCTGTTCTAGTGGTAATCTTTTCCAGCAGTGTTTTTATTTAGCATGTACTCTTTCTGGCATTAAAGAGTTGTGTCAAACCATGGGAGGTGTTGATGATTAAAGGGAAATAAAAAAACCTAATCTAATTTTGCTTTGCTGTATCTTTGTTCAAAAACTCTTAGCCTTTTTTGTTTTCAGACCTTTCTCTCTAGGGGTCTGTGTGTATGTTAGACGTGGGTCCTGTGTGAAGAAGCTCGTATCCCAGTCCTGACTCAGAGATGCATTAAAATAGCCTCTTGCTTTCTGCCATTGCAGGAACTTCTACCATAGATTTTAACACCTGACTAGGTAAAGTGGCCAGACCTGGACTTAGACCACCACACTTGTGTTTTAAGAATCCTTTGCCAGTGGCAGAGCTCCATTGCAAAGTTGGAATGAAAGCAGGGATTTGGCAGAATAATCAGAGGAAGGTTTATTGAGAGGAACCAAGTGGTCACTGTAATATTAAAGTACATTACAGCACCAAAATACTGAGGAGCCCTTACGTAGCTATACCCCAGTCCCAGTGCTCAGACAGTATTTACCCATACTTTGTATCACGTATGTCAGGGAGAGACAGATTAAAGGGGACAACAAGGTGGGTGGAAGGAGATAGTACCTATCCTTTTCTGCAGAGGGATGTCATCTGAGAGGACGTAGATATGTGCAGGCACATGATGATCCAAGTAGACCTCAGACCAACACCATCTTGGAAAGTAGGAGTTCTAAGACCAGTTGCTTGGCAAAGGTGCCAAAAGGAAATTCAGGCAGCATTTCAGGCATTAATCCAAATGAGGTCCAAGGAGCAGATCTTGTGAGAAAGGACAGGGGAAGTGATTTCAAAGCTGAGTGTGCGTTTGAATCTTTTTATATAGGCTGGGGAATAACAGGCAAAGTGTTGGCTTTCATGGGGATGGAAGGAGACAGGGTTAACAGAAGTAAGCCTCTGGATTGGTCAGAATGAGAAAGGGGGGGGGAAGGCTTGTGGAAGTGTGTTTCAAAGGGATTTTTAAAGCCAAAGGCTTTCCAAATAAGAGAGTGCCAGAACAGGGTAGATTAGGGCATCTTCCTCAATTAAAAGTTGATGTCCCCAGAGGTCCTTTATACCAGGCCAGAGGAGTCCACAGGGCATTGTACTTGATTGGACTGGAATATCTAGGATAGAGGTCACAGAGCTAACTACCTGAGTTTTCTTTTTCTATGTTTGGCCTCTTGTGCCAAGGCTACACCTTTCTTCAGCTGAACTTGCTAGCCATTGTATTGTATGATTAAAATTCAGAGCGGTCTACTCATGCCTGGTCTTGTGGCCTGTCTAGCTTCTTTTGTTTCACGCATCCGTCCTCCAGCTAAGGCTCACCCTGTTGTGTTCAGTAAATGACTCTTAGAAAGGTCAGGTCAGACCTTTCTAAGATTGAATGATGGGTGGGCTTAGTTACAGACCATAAGAGTTATAGAATGGGGCCCAAAATGGAGGCAGAATAGTAATGGCAACATAGAACAGTGGAAAACTTGCTTTCTTGAAAATAAAATCTGCGGTTATGAGATCTGGATATGGGTTGAAGGCCTTTTAAAATTGCTTTGTACATTGTTAACAGCCCACATGTTGCTCACCTGTACCTTTCTCTCTTCTCAGGGTTAGTCTAAGTGACGGCAGTGACAGTGACAGCAGTTCAGCATCTTCACCGCTGCGTCATGAGCCACCACCATTACTAAAAACCAATAGCAACCAGGTACCATTGTATGATGTTCCTACTGTTATCATGATCGCTTTTTCCCCCTTTTGCCTAATTATTGGGTTGGATCCTGTGATCAGCAGAAGGCTCTGATGATAGTGGATCTTCCCCACAGGCCTCCATCCCAGCAGTCCTTTCCAACCTTTGAGAGTTTATTCCAGGGTTGCAGAACCCATGTGGAATCATAGCCTTGGGAGGGGAACAGAATCTCCCTTCTTGACTCTTCTTTCAGAGGAGCTCACTTCGCCCTCCCTGCTGTTGTGGACTTCCAACTCTCATGGTGATTATTGTACAGTGGCGACAGCAGAATAAAGTTTCCTGGGGTCACAAATGACTGCTGGGAAGAGCACAGCGCAAGAAAGATCTACGATGCTTATGTCTGCAGCAGTGTTCCCTCTAAGCTGAGTTAGTGTGAGCTAGCTCACAGTTTTTTAGCCTCCGGCTCACACATTTTTGTCCTAGCTCAGGAAGGATGGCTACAGATCAAACTAATTTATGCAGTAGTCAAATTGCTCGCTCACAGCTTTAATGCCAGTAGCTCACAAAAAAGAATTCTTGCTCACAAGACTCCACAGCTTAGAGGGAACATTGGTCTGCAGAGGTGTGCATCTAACCCAATTACTTTTTTTAAAATTCTTCAAGTTTTGGAGCATTTGGGTATACAGTCAGAGCGACAAATCTGTCACTACAAACTTCTTTCCTAGTAGTATTATTGCAACACACACTGGAAGTTATGCAGCTGATTTTTTCGCTTGCACCAATTTTATTTTGCCTGAGTGTGAATTCACTGAGGTGTTAGATCTTCACTCTAATTTAACAGGAATGACAGCACTATTACACAAACAAATAATTAAAGACTGCTTTTGAATTGTATGGCTCCATTACCACAATTTCTGACTGAAGTTAAAAATAATAACATCACAAAAGTATTAGTAAAGTACTGTAGATGGAGGGGATGTAGGTAGACCTTATGTGGGCCTGGCTAACTTTATAACTATAAATCGTAGCATGGGCGAAGCACTTGGAGAAAGAGAGAGAGGGACATGGGCCTTCTGTTGCTTACCCTGTACACAATATTGGTATGCTAAAATCTTCACACCCTAAAAAGCCTAATTTCCCCTGTCTTTAAACTGTGTTATAAGTGAATTTACACCAAGAAACATTTGGCCTCTCTCCCAAGTTAGATGCTTAGCTCCAAACTTGATGACATAGGAGGATAGCCATGATCAGTCACCTGCTGTTCTTTTAAAAAAGTAAAAACAACCAGGCGGAAAGTTTGAATCCAACTTGGGACCAGGCCCATAGCCACAGGGGAGGGCATTGGGGCAATGCCCCCCATGGATGAGCTCCACTCCTGCGGGAATAATTTTTTTTAAAATGTAAAAATGTAAGATGAGTGTGAGGTTTCTAAAATGACCTCGGGCACAGTCAGGGAAGCCTCAGTCTCATTTTCTTTTTTTCTGGGCTGAAAAATAAATAGGTTTTTAAAAATGCACAATAAAATAAAATTGCAAAATGTAATTCGTTCTCATTCGTTCAGCAATCCATTAGCTGAGCCGAGTTGGGGAGTTTTTTTAGAACGCCTCCTGAGACCACTGCCGCCCCAGCAGCATGGTATGGCGGAACCTGCTGAGAAGCTGTACCAGGCCAAGCATGCCAAGCTTCCTGCAAGAAATGTGGAGGCAACAGCACCAAGGATTTGCTGTACCAGGCCATCATGGTACAGGTACTGCAGGCAGGGGCCTGCCTTTCCACCCTTCTGCCAGGGGTTCCAGTCCAACGAGCCATGTTGCTTGCAGTGACCATCATCTTTTGTAGGTTGGGCTCAGAGTATGCTCTTCACTCATCTGGCCAAGGGGGGGGGGAGCTGCCTTGAGGCTTCTGTTTCTCCTGTTCCTGCTGCACGCACAGCTCCCGGTGGCCAGGACATGGCGGGGGGGGGGTTGCTGGGGGAGGACAGTAGCAAGCTTCTAGAGTAGGGGACAGCTTTTCCTATGTGGAAACAGTCTTCTCGAGTGAGTGAGTGAATTTTCTGCTGGAAATTTGGTGTATTTATTGGCTTTTTTAAAAATAATTTTATGATGTCACGTCCAACTAGTGCCCCCACTAAGAATTTTCTGGCTATGGGCCTGCTTGGGACCAAGGCAGATGGCGAAAAGGGGTTAACCTTTTCTTGTTGTGCCATTTTCCCAATATAAATGGTGCCCCCCCCAGTACCATTTGCCCCACATTTCAGTAACCTTTACAATAAAATTCAAATACATGCAGGGGTGTTTCAAACCAAAGCATTGATCAACTGCTGTTATTGATTGAATTTGAAGCACTGTTGAATGTACTCAAATTTTACAATGTACTGAAAGACCTGTCAACAATTGTTTAATGAGATATTTGCTAATAAATTGTGTTAATAGGTTGGTGGAGATCCAGTGTCTTGTTAATAAGCAAGTCAGTGCACTATGCTAATTCCCAAATTACAGTTCTTGCCTTTTCATTTCCTTGCCTTTTCCCTGTTGCCAGAATTCATTTTTCAGATGCTGCTTTGCATTCTGCAGGGGTTTCCAGGACCACTTGTGTGTCTTACCCAAAACACCCAGAAGTAGAAAAAAGTTCTCCTAAAATCCTTTTTAAAGCGTTTTTTACTTTTTAGTTCCATTTGGGGAGGAATTCCATTTGGCCACACTTGAGGTTTTTGTTCACTGTCATTAAAGCCATAACTTGTTTTAAACAATGAAACATGATACTGTGTTTGCTATGCTGAAACACAATAGCCTGTGGGTGGTATATTTTCCTATAATATTCACAAAAAGACAGTCTTGTCAGCAGTGGACTAGCAGAAAATTTTCTCCAAAACAGCTGCTGAGCAGTTAGTCTTTATGATACAATAGCTGGAACATGATAAATTATTAGATTTTTTTACTGACTTGTATCCTACTACTCCATTCAGTTAAGTGAGGAGGAAGGAGCTACCCTGCCTCAGGGAAACGCTGCTTCTTGCAAAAGAAATCTGCATACTTTGAAGTGGTAGGGTACAAGACATTGAAATTAAATCCAGACAAAATAGAAGTACTGTGGAACAGAGGAAAACTGAGCCAGTGCAAAGTGTTCAAGCTGCATTAGATCTCCCCCCCCCCCGCAAGCAGGCTCATAACCTGGATGTGCTCCCGGAAACCTTACTGATCCTGGGTGCCCAGGTGATATAGGTAGCCAAAAGTAAGCTCTACCAACTTGGGTTGGTCTGTCATCTGCAGTCTTTCCTAGAAAAAGCAGACCTCATACATGCCTTAGTAACGTGCAATTTGGACTACTGTAACAGTCTACATGGAGCTGCCTTTGTAAACTGTTCAGCAGTGTAAACTCTTTCCGAATATGATTGCCAGGATGCTAACAGGGATGCTTATTGTTTGCCAGTTATGTTGAATGCTAGTTTGCTTCTGAGCTCAGTATATAGTGCTGGTTGATGTTCTCTAAAACCCTAAATGGCTTGAGTCCAAAGTACATAGTGAACCTCTCATATGCTGCATCTGGTATTCTGATGGTGGCTTTATTTGGGAGCTGCTTGGGGAAAGCAGTTGGTGGGAACCCCCACAAGGGCTTTCTCGGCTTTTGTCCCCACTCTGTGAAACACACACACACACACACACACACACACAATGATTGGTGTCTTCATTGGAGGTTTTCTGGCATCAGTTAAAAACATTTTTATTTCAGTTAGATTTGAGTCCAGTAGCACCTACTGTGTTTGACAAAGGGAGCTGTGATTCTTGAAAGCTTATATCCTGAAACTCTTGTTGGTCTCTAAGGTGTTCTGCAGACCAATATGGCTACCCTCTGTAACTAATTTTATTTCAGGAGGCCTTTATTAGTTAATTTCTTCTCTGGTGTGTTTAAAAATGTTCTCAGATGTTAATGGTGGTGAGTCCTGTTGATCTTTGATGATTTGCAGTCTTTAAAAAAAGTTTCTTTTGTACACACACACACACACACACACACACACACACACACACACACATGGTCCTTGTGAACCAGCCTAGAATGGATGCAATTGAAGGCCCTATTGCTTCCCTTGAACTCTTGCCTTGTGATTCAAGGACAGAGAAAGTTAGTTACACTCAAGTCATATCAAATTCAGTGGAACACATTGATGGTAACCAACAAGTGCTATTGATTTCAATGAAATTTGAGCACTGAGAACTTTTCTCTGAATTGGGAGGGACATTGAGCTCCTGCTGGTGTGGTTTTTCCTGTTCAATTGAGTAAAGTTAGGAGAGTTCTATCCAACAGAGCTTTTATTGCTTCTGGTTTTAGCAAATTGGTCAGTAAGAGCTTTTGGTGCTTGGACTCATGCTTTCTCTGTGGCTGGACCTGTGCTGTGGGATGGACCTCCAGGGGATGTGAGGAAGGCGGCAACGATGCACAGGATTCAAGAGTTCTATAAAGCAGAGCTCTTTCTTTGTGCATTTGATAGCCCATAAATGAAAGTTCTAGATTGTTTCCTTTTATTTGTATCTAATTTTATTTATGATGTGATGATGTATTTCTTTTAAAATTTGTTGTAAGCCACTTTGAGACCTGTTGATGGGGAGAAAAGCAAGATATAAATATTTTATTCTCCAAAAATGTGCATTTTTATGTCTGAATAGTCCATAAAGTGATTAAGTTATACAGATCCAATATCCATATATCTGTATATTCAATTGCTGCCATGACAGTTTCATGAGCAATTATTTCTCTTACAACTGTTTATTTTGTTAACATTCATAAAGCCCCTTTCCAGCGTTTAAAATGACTTATCCTCCCCTTTTCATTTATTTCATTTTGTATTGTAAATTGTTTTTGTAGGATATTTGACAAGAGGAACACACAGGTTAGATAAATAGGCTGCTAAAACATGCTTAGACAATGAAGTTTGGTATGGAATTTCTAACAGTCTTTCATTCTTTGCATTTCAGAAGCTATTTACTATGAAATGTACCTATTCATCTAGCCTTGTAGTGCCCGTAAATCATTTACTTTTTGTTTTTTGCTTTTCAGATTCTAGAAGTAAAGAGTCCTGTAAAACAGAGTAAATCTGATAAACAGATAAAGAATGGCGATTGTGATAAGGTATCGATGCCTAGCAAAAAGTAATCTTTAAATTATCTTCAATAAACGTACATCCTGTGTTCTAGAAATATTTACTCTTTCAATATGTAAAAGGTTGGTGGTTGAAGTCTTATCTTCATGAAGTACTACTTAATACTGCCCTCAGCATTTTTGCATCCCCACATTAAACTTGTATAGGATGAGATAACTTGTTCCATATTCTCCAAGACTAACCAGTCTCTCTCTTGAATTGCATGAGACTCAAGTCCCATTTGCATGTTACATCGAATGCATGTACTGTCAGCATATATATTTATTTATGTATTTTTACTTCATTTATATCCTGCCTTTTCCCCAAAGCAGCTTACATCATAAGAGTCAATGTTTGTACACTTCAGAAATAAAACTAGGGACGAGTACCTGGATAAATGTAGCACATTCAGCTGTGCATGCATGGAATGTAATATAAGAATTACTCAACTAACATACAAAGAGAAATATACAAATACACATATGTACACACAGGATTTATATGACATTGCAAATGCATTTGTGACTCAAGTTTTAATACTTAACAAAGTGTGTTTTGTCTCAAATTTGGGATGACTTATTTTCAGGCATATCTTGATGAATTAGTGGAGCTCCACAGAAGGTTAATGACGCTAAGGGAAAGACATGTACTACAACAGGTGAGAAGATCTCTTTTCTGTATGAAACACACTAAATTTGTCAGTCAAGAACCTTAATTTGGTCTTCTGGTGTCTAGACTTTAATAAGCCAACAGTATAGACTTTAATATGTGCAGTTTATACTCAAAATAATAGCACATCACAAGCTTTTTCTTTGCCCTACAATATTTCAATTATGTTAGCTTTAGCTATGTTGAAGGTTGAATATGATATTAGATTTATTTTTAGGGATCGTTCATAAAGTTACTGTTTTGAATGTGATGGCTATTCAGTGGCAAAGCTCAACTTCGTGTGTCTTACCACAAGAATTTAAGGGCATTTCATTTCAAATTTTTTAAAAATAAGAGTCCCCAAGTAACCAAGATGACAAAAATTGATCTTTCAGAGTTTGTATCTAAAGTCTGCTTCAGATACTGTTTTTGTATAATAATCAAGAACTGATTGTAAAATAATACAGTAAAGTATATATTTTGGTTGCAAAACAGGCATAAGATGGGAAACATTTATACTTCTGACCAGGTGTAGTCAGAATACAAAATAATATATATGAAACAGTCCTCTGTGTGTGTTTTATTAACATAACCCTTTATATAACATTAGCAGTTATGGTAATTTAACAATAGGTAACAAACCTACGTTTATAGTAAGAGAACGCTTAGCAGAGAGTCAGTCCTGGTTCTCTGTCAAGTATATCTGAATAATAAGTATACTCTTAAAAGAAAACTTAGATGTATGCCTAAAAATTAGTGAAATGGCCCTTATTCTTTTACGAGCTTTTACTTCGTATTGATCATACAAATAAACTGTCCATTGGAGCCATTTAAGAAAATAGGATTGAAGCTTACATTCTATTCACATAGGTGTCCTGGGAACTGCTGTACTGAGAGACAGGATACATACAATCCCTGGGCTAGATCCTTTTTGCTAAAGAGGGGATTCTTCTGGTGGACAAATCCTTCCTCGTTGGTGGAAGACTCTTATTTAAAGGCAGGCAGCCTTTGGACACAATTCATTACAATTTGATTTCCTAATTTCAGATGACTTCTGAGCCAATAGGTGGGCTGTGAAATAGTAGCCATTTTTCAGTAATTACGTCTGCGCTGGACAAACATGCTACATGTGATTATTAAGTGCATGTGCTCACAGTGTCAGGAACATAATGACTAAATGTCAGGAATGTTAAGGAATTTGGGTGCAGGAGAACCAGGTCCAGTTCCTCCTCCAGTTTTAACTTGCAAGATGGCCTTAGTTACTTTTAGCCTAACATTAGGTTTGTAGGCTGCAGTGAATAAACCAAGAGAATTCTGTTTTATGACCTATCCAGAAAATAAAAAATATGTTTCTTAAAGTTAGCCCAGTAGACCTGTAAAAGGCCTGTCTTAAAGGTTTTCAGCCCTTCATATATGCTTTGTTCTGTACAGACCTTTAAATTGCTCCAGCATGATAAATGGCAGTGAATTTGAAGGGAGAATGACAGTATATAAATGGAACTGTACTTTAAAACAATAAAGTGCAGCATGTTTTATCAAGAACAAATAAGACTTCCTTATACCTTGCTTCTTGAGTCTCCTGTTAAAGTATTTTACATTAGCAATCGGAAATCTTGACAGCTTTAATCTTAACTCTTTTCCCCCCAATGTTTTTGAATAGATTAAGAATGTGAGTGCTGATATGAAAGACATTAACATAACTCCCTTTGGCAGGTGGTCAAGAATGCCCCTAAAGCTTTCTTGGCTATATCTTTATATATTTGTCCTTCTATTAAAACTGGAGGGGTCATCTTGCTCAGCTGTACCAGGTGGGCTTTGATACTGTAGCTGTATTTCTAAGAGGCCAGGATGAAGAATGGGGTTCAAATGTTCACGTTGCTCTTAGCTAGGAGTTTTAAAAGTATAGATAGCGATCAACAAATGAGATTTTGTTTCTCGTTTCCTTTAAGAATGCTCCATAGCTTAAAAATGCATCTGTTAACACTTCCTAAATGCTTTTGAATTTCCAAAATTTATTATTGTGGGAGTTAGTGGAAGGCCCCATTCTGGCACAGTATCACAAGAACATAAATATCAAATTTAGTTCCTTTTTTAAAAAAAACAAAAAACCCCAACGTTGAGGAGTTATTCTAAACTTTGTCTCGTTCAGTCACAGCAAAGTTAAACATACTTTAGCAGAAGGAAACCCAGAAATTATTTCCAGGTTAGCCATTGAGTGTCATGGCTATAGTCGCAACATATACCAGGGCTGCTCATCACAACATGAGTGGGTGGCCATTTTTAAAAATGATGCTTCTCAGCAGGTTGGCCTATTAATTTTTGGCAATTTTTCATGAAATTCTATTACCTCTTGGTAATCCAGAAACACACAAGAGATGTGGCAGCTGGGAATAAATAGCCGAAATCGTTGAGCGCACCTGTACAATGCAATGCTATGCAGTTATTCCAGTTTAAGTTCATTGATTTTGTTGGGTTTAAATGGGAATAAGTATACACAAAATTGCACAGTTAAACACCTAATCATTATCCTTTGTTACCTGGATATCAAGTTGCCTCCTGTGAATTGCTTGCTAGCACTCTTTCTCATTTTGTGTGTGTTTGTGTGTAATTTTGATAGCATTTACTAAGATTTGAAATTTGTATAATATCTACCACATGAAAGTTAATATCTTACTTGCATTTCTGTAAATCCATAGAACAAGTTAAGGAGTAAATGGTTCGTAACTCCTGTTCTTTTCCATTTCCAGTGATATGAGCAGACAATAAACAAAGATATGTTTTAACACAGTTCAATGAGACAAGCAAACTATAAATCATTATGATACTTGTTACAATCCAACTGCTACCTCTGGTACTATAAAATTTCATTTACACTCATACACACTGTATTACAAAAAGGTTGCACAGTTGAAAATATCAAAATGTAAATGGGAGTTCTTTTTCCAAAAATCAAAGAAAGATTTACAATTAACTGAAAAACAAAATCAATTAATTTGGCTGTCTCTCAATCTGACCAACTCCATCAGGTCAGAAAGTTTTATTATCTCCCAGGCTTTATTAATCTGAGATTTTATATTCAACCTTTCTGTCTTTTTCCAGTTCTGTGCAAGTAATTGTTTCTCATTTCTCACACATGGTGTTCTTCCTGCCGTGTCCTAATTCCAGTTGCCAAAATACCTGCCCCCTCCCCTCTGCACCTCACATTCTGACCAGAAGTTCCAAGAATGTGAAAGGCTACTGGCTAGCAAGCTCCTTGGTTGCTCCCCCCCCCTTGCTTATTAAAAATGGGGAAGGGGGGGAACATGCAAGGTGGCACCTCATCTGTCTTGCATAGCTTCTGTCCTTTCTGTTTCTAACAAGCGAAGGGAAAAAGATGGGAAGATTCAGTTGGCATTTGTATGGTGAACAGATAGCTTCCCTTTGGGGGAACCACGGGGGCTGATTGAGGTGGTTTACTGCCTTGTGTGCAATGAAGAGCTACAACTAAAGAACATAACATACTTCAGTGGGACTTGAGTGGTATCAGCGAATCACTGGGTTACAGAACAAAGGAGGAAGGTGATTACTGTAGGTGGCCTATGGTTGGTGCAGAAATAAGGGGAATTTTAAATGTGTGTGGCTGGGGGAAACAACTGATGCTGAGTAATACCACTTTAAGTAACTTTGACCTTGGAATTTCCTAATCAGTTGGGATTCTTTTTTGAAGGATATGGAAATGAGATGTGATTGCTTATAGCACTGGAAAAGTGAACTGTGGCTAAAGGATGCTTTCCTCTTTTATTATGTTCATCGGTTTTCCATGCTTCCTGGTTCAGTGCGGCATGTTTATGGATAATGCAGTTCACAACCTTACTTTATGTGAACCTGTTTACGTTCATTTTCATATTAAATAAGTTCTTTTATCTCTATAACAGAAAGAGGACAATTCAGTCTTCTGAAAGACTTAAAAAGAGTTCTAAAAAAAGATTTATCTGTGACCTTCATTACTAAAAACTAACACAAGTGATCTTGCAACTGCAATACATTTCATAGATTAAGTCTTTTGGTGCCATATTCAGAGCAAGTGCTATATAGTCAGAGGTGATTTTCTTGCCCAGCTGTAAGTGAATTGTAGATTTTAAAAATACTATTCGAACCAAAACAACACATGCACATTGTTTTTCTTGAAGTCTGAATAGGCACAGTTCAGTTCAGAAAAAAAGACCTCTGCTTGAAGTTGAAACCAAAACTAGGATTCATTTACTGAGGGGGAACATGAACATCCATTGCAGCATTTCATGTCATACATTGATGGCTGCAAATAGTTTTAAGTGGACTTGTGAAGATATTTGTTTAAGGTATTACTGGTGAAGTAAGTACACATTGGATCATTGTGGGGATATCATGGTGCTATATAAGTTCTAGTTTCAATCTGTGGCATCTCCAGTTACAAAAGATCACTGGAAGTAGAGTTAGGGTAAGAAGGACCTCTGTTTGAGGTCCTGGAGAGTGCTAGTCAGATTAGACCATTTTACGAGGTGGCCATATCAGCATTCTGTTTGAATTGACAATCTACATTTAAATGCGATTACTAGTGGGGGAAACCTAATGTTTGAGTTTTATTTTTAATTTAAATTTTATCTAACAAAACTAACAAAAAACTAACAAAAAGGTGTGATAGAGAACAAATGGTGATTAGTTTCAGAAAGTTTTAGGACTTTTGCCCTTCAGGTTCCTATCAGAATAAGACAGTCTTTACCTTCTTCCTATATGCCGAAGCCTTCACTTGATAAAGGAGCTTAAGGTGCCGCAATCCAAAGGAGGGTCCAGTTTGTCACCTTCAGAGATTTGATGGCATCTAGAGATAGGCCTTTTGAAACCATGGCATCAGTGAGCAGGTTCACATTGTATGTTCCATGGAAGGGAGAACCAGAATTTAAATTGTAACGTATTCTCTTTCTTGCTTTTTCTAATGACAGATTGTAAACCTCATAGAAGAAACAGGACATTTTCATATCACAAACACAACCTTTGACTTTGACCTTTGTTCACTGGACAAAACTACAGTTAGAAAATTACAGAGTTACCTGGAAACGTCTGGGGCATCCTGAGGACACAACTTGTGGCTGCATCAAAATACTGTGATCCTTTTCTTTTTAAAAAAAGAAATAAAACATTCAGAGTGATGCAACCAAAATGGCAAAAACAAAAAAAAATCAGCCAACTCTCTTCAGCTTTATTTTTTTGTTAAAGCCAGTCATCATCTCTTAATAAAGGAGAAGAAAAGTGACAAGCCTCAGAGGATTGATCTTCTCACCAAGGAAATGCTCTGGAAGAGTTAGCCTGGATAGCCTTGAAAAAAAAAACACTTAATGAATGTGTATGGTATCATGTATCTCTCTCTGTGGTTTTCCAGGCCACAAGACGAATGCATGTTCAACACACTGCCTTATTACATAACTGATCTATTTATTATTGCATACGTATATTCTAAAGTCCTTGAGGGAATGACACTACCAGATGTTACAAGTCCTCGTGTACCGCTTACGATCCTTTGGTGCAATGAGCCACCACCGTCACAAGCCTTCTGACCTTACTCTCCTTTCAATGCCACTTTTTTCTGACTCTTTTACTATTCACTAAAAAACAAACAAACGAAAAGTACGGTCTTGTTTCCCACTTCCAGTCTCCAGAAACAAGATACAGACAGAGGGAGCAGGCCAAAAGTGGCCTGATTTTTTTTCTCACTTTTTTTATTACACTCTATCTGCTGCAGCAGAATGGGTCCCCAGGCTGTAATCATGTATTGATCATGGACCATGGTAGAAAATGCACCAAATAGGATCATGACTTGCTTTTCTAGCCTTAGTCAATAAACCATTAGGACTTTTTATTAAAGAGAAGTGTTACTGTCTGCTGTCCTGAACCCACCATTGTGTTTGCCATCAACATCTTTGTGTCTGTTTCTTTCTTTTTTTTATGTTACATTAGATATCTACAGAAGTGAAGGCACTCAAGAGGACTGCCATTAACACAGGGACACCAGTCCAGTTTTCTGTGGGATTGTTGTAGAAAACCTTAATTTGGAGGCATTTATTGCTAAAGCATTCCAGCACTCAGCTGCCAGGAATATGCAGTCCAGTCTTTTGTTACAAAGGGGAGGGGGCATTTTTTTCCCTTTGATCCTACAACATACGTTCTGTTTAGATTTTGATTCCAGCTCTTTTCTGTCTGCTAAATGAAAACTCCCCCCCCCCCGTTTAAATTGTTGTCAAACAAAAACTCAGTGGAAACGGCTTCCAGTTTTCAGCACTTGTTTGGTACCCTACATGCTTCTACAGTAGGGTTGTCACCCAATAAAAGACATTAGTCGATTAATTTATGACTTTTAATCGATTAATCAAATAAATCTACGTAACTGCGTGTGAATAAATAATAGTTCTAAAGTAAAAAAAAGTCTGCTTTCTTTTTTTTAAGCTGGTGTACGCATTTGTCACCACAAGCAGCTCCTTAGAAGAAATATTCCCTCTCATGTAGGAGAGAGGACAATGCCTATTCTAGGGTGACACCTGCCATCTGTGGGGGGTTTGGGTAACTATATTAAACGTGATTCAATTCTTAAAATAAATATGCTGCCTCCTTAATTGAGGGCACTTCTTTTAATCAACTAAAAGGGGCTGAACTGATTAATTTAACCAATCAACTCAACTTGGCAGCCTAATTTCTGGAAATATTTCTTTTCAATTAAAATGAAACACAAATATGTTTATTAAAACAAGCTAGAAACCCTTTACAAAGGTGAGAGTTTCCTTCCCTAGATGCTGTTAATTTTTTTGGCCAAATGAAAGATGCTTAAGAAATACTTGGGACCACTGGATCTGCCAGCCTTAAGGCAAGTCTGTGTTGGAGAGGCCAGTATGTTTCCAGTCTGCTTCCTTGCCATATGTCTTCTGTGGCTACAGAGTCAATCTACAGTAGCATTTGAGAGTTTATTTTTATTCCATGTACATGTTTTTGTGCAGTTGCAGGTTCCAACTAGGGGGTGTTTCTTCATAATCAAGTGGGAATTCTTAACACTGTTTCTTTAAGTCCAAAGAAATGATTTCCTTTCATTTGTGTGTGTGTGTGTGTGTGTGTGTTTGTTTTTGAATTAAAATGTTGTTTGACCATAATCTGTGGAAAGTCTTTTTCAGGCTTCCGAAAGAACAAGTGTACTTTTCTTCAGTAATGTTATGACTCTTATTGATGATTGGCATGAAACATACTTGAAGCGTTATGTTCTTTTTAAGTCCACATGTTAATTAATGTGCAATTGTTGGGTGGGAGGGAAGGGAGTGGGAGGTTTTTGAAATCTCTTGACATCAAGCATATGATGTGATGTTGAAGTGTGGAGGGGGATATTTGGGTTTTTTACATTTTTGTCAACATTTTTTATATGAAATGTTTGAAAAATCTAAAGGCGAACTTTCACTTTTTTTAATAGCACACAGTTGACATGTTTCATTTCAATTCAGTGCAAAATGTGTACTTTTGGGGGTCCATTTTTGACTTTTCTAACTAAATTTTGTGGCAAAAACTCTAAAGAGGGTGTTGGAAGGAGCACAGCCCCACATAACTTTTGAATAGATACTGGAAAGTCAGTTTTGTTTTTTAAGTTTGTGTTTTTAGTAACTGGCAAAGTAAGTCCTTGGAGCTGCAAAAAAAATTAGTAGCTGATGTACAGAATTTGTGGGGGTGGAGGGGTTAACTGTGTAAATGGAAGATTACTGCAGTTACAGTAGACTCTTAACTCTGACTTGCATGTAGCTCATCAGTCATCCTTATAAAAATGTTAGTTCTCTAGTTGGATGAGACTGAGGATGGAATAAACACATTTCAGCTGCATTTGTGTGTGTTGAAAGTGAAGGGTGTTTTCCACAAAATTCTGGTAGAATAAGAGCTGGTAAGTGGTGTCCTTTTTAAAAAATTAAAAAAACCTTAGTTATTTTGTATGCTGAAACAAAATAAATCATTTTTCAATTACATATAGTCATATTTCTCTGATAGAGAAACCAGCCTCTAGACTGTGCGAAGGGGGGGTTGTGTGTATGTTTTAAAAGGGGTGGATAAAACCTTACTGCATGCATTCCTAACCTTTGTGCCAGTTACATCATCCTTTCAGCAAATGAGCAGTGTTTTGTCTGAATAGGGGCTTAGCCTCAGAAATGAACCTTTAGTGCCACATCTCAGACCTGGGACCTGTGATGATACAAAGCAGGATATCTTGAAGCTCATGCAGAATACCACAGTCCCTTGTTGTATATCTGGAATTAATAAGCAGAGCTTTCAAATCTAAGGGTATGTGTATCACTCACTCACTGTCTACCCCCTCCGCACCATTAACCACTATGAAAGATTCAATTGTTCAGGATTTTATACAATGCTAAACTGGAGTTGGTAGAATGGAAGCACACAAGCTTCACCATAAAAATCTGAACACCTGAAAACTGGATGTAGCTCGTGCCACACCATAAAGCACAACTTGGGTATGCCAGTATTGGAGCATATTAAAATGCTTTGGATCACACTTGACGTTAGTCGAGAGGGCAACTGCCCATGCAACCGGCAGCTAAATGGCTAGCTTCTCCTTCCCTGCCCAGCACTGGGTCCTGACATCAAAATATGCTGTGTCTCCTATTGATCGCCAAAGTGGAACAGACGTTCAAAAATACAGAACGTAGTGATGTCAGCATGCAGGGTATTAGAGATTATGGTAAGGAAGAGGGAGTCAAATAAGTATCATTGACTTTAGCCCTGCAACCATACCAAGATGCAAGACATACCAAGACACAATGCTCTAGTTTAAAATAACCTATCTTTAAACATTTATCTGAACAGGGAAGAAATGGATGCAGCCTAGAGGACACCATCATGCTTATGTATCACTGAGAATTGACCATAGTTGTAGAGGAACACAACTCGTATAGTTGTATTTTATAAATCTTTTAATTAGGAGAGCGTATTGAGTTGCGATTTCATGCTTTTTTCCCATCTGCTTTCTTGTGTTTATTAATGTGCATTTTTTTTCAGCAATTCTGTTTTCACCCAATCTTCTTCTGTACATAACAGTTGACTGCCTTCCATGCTTCTTGGTGTAGGCCTCTGAATATTGTTCTTGACTCACTCCCTTGTGCCCACTCCATATGTCTTGTGTATGGAAGATATGGAGAGCCACATTTCAGAATAGTACAGACTACTGTCTATAATGTAAATATGTGCGTTGGCACTTGTGTTGCATTACAGAATAATGAAATGTATTGCTGGAAGTGATGAGAGACCGGTCCCTTAACCATAGGAAGAGATTTAAAAATAAGCTGTCTGCAAGAACATATTGAGAAGTGCAAAATGCTTTCATTGTCTGAACCCTTAATTACAACATAGGGGGACACAATGGACTTTATTCTAAATATTAACGCTTACTTCCTAGCATCGACTTGGGGTGCTTTTTCCAGGAAATGAAGCTGCACCTTGTAAGCACCATTTCTGCGTCCAATGGAGGAAGGAATAAAGGAGAAGAAGAGATTGGATTTATACCCCACCCTTACTACCGAAAGGAGTCTCAGAGCGGCTTACAAACTCCTTTCCCTTCCCCTGCCCACAACAGACACCTTGTGAATTAGGTGGGGCTGAGAGAGCTCTGACAGAAACTGCTCTTTTTCAAGAACAGCTGTGCCAGAACCCGGTTCTCCCAGATTAGAGTCCGCACACTTAACCACTACACCAAATTCAGCTTTATATTCTTTAAATGCCAGTACTTCAAGAGATTTTTTTTCAAGAATAGCTCTGCTAACAAATCCAAATCACTCAGTTTAAAGTGATATTTGCAGACGTATCGGAGGCATATATGGATATGAACCTCCAGGTGGGGCCAGGAATACTCTCAGAATTACAATTGATCTCCAGATAAGTTCCACTGGATAAAATGGCAGCTTTGGAGGGTAGACTCTATGGCACTGTGCTGGGATGAGGTCTAGGGTTACCAGCGCTGGGTTGGCGAATACCTGGAGATTTGGGGGATGAAGCCGGCAGAGGGCAGGGTGCTATAACAGACTATACGAATGGCGCAAAATGCTAGACTGGTGCAAGAATGGCTCTTTGCCGCAGATGAACTCATGTTTTGAATGCTGTCTTCCATTAGTAAAATCTACAAATGAAAAGCAAGAACAGCAGAGGGGGCAGGGTTTGCTTCCTCCATAAATTAGTTCTCTTCTTATGGGGATGTTATTGCTGTAAATAGCATTAAAACCCCACACCTTGTAAGCTAACTTGGTTCAGTCTGTTCTACCACCACCAGACTCTACCATGCATAATTATTAGGCTTCGTATTAGGTTAATTATCATTCACCCACCTGGAGAGCTGTAAATTCTGTGCAGAAGTTTAGAGGATCTCAAACACCACTATTAAATTGGGATCCCAGAGTTCTTTGAGGGAAGCCATTGCCGTTAAACCATATAAACCCAGGTTTGTATCATAGATCTTTCCAGTATTTAACTGCCACAGTCATAAGGCATAAATTTCTCTAAGAAAAAATCCCCTGCATAGTACAAAATGTAGTACATGTGTGAAGAATGCCACTGATCAGAAATAAAGTATAGTGACTTGGGGTGTTTAGGTTTGTATTGCTGAAGAATCAAATCCTCACCTTTCTCAAATCAGTGTGGACTTGGCTTATTACAGTGATTTGTAATGAGCAAAAGCTGATTCAAGCATAACTGGAATACCCACTCTCTGCATCCTCACTAATAAATGTAATGTTTGAACCACTGACAACACTGGATTCACGAGCTGAAGGAAATGATGGAGCACCCAGATCTAACACTAGATGTGAACTGTGTCAGCAGATTTAATTTGATTTAGCCTGGAGTGCAGAACCATGAATTATCCTGAGAACTAATGGAGTACCTGAGATTTGAGCTACAAACATCCATTGTAAGCAACCTAAGAGTTTGATTAATGAATGTAAGTTGTAAGCATTTGCAGTTGTACAAAGTAGAAATTGTTTGTTTTGATTTTGTCTTTCAAATATTTTATGCTCTTTCCTCTTTCTTTATGTCGAACATGGAACTAAAAAGAATGGATGCGTTTTCCTTTTAGATCTTGAATAGATTACGTACCATGTTTCCTTATGCTCTGTGCTTTAATGTGTGTTATAAAAATGGCTCTTTTTTAATGCCTTGCATCTCCTATGACAACTTTTATTACTTCTTGGCA